TTTCTTTAAATAAAACCTGTGTAGCAACCCAACTTGTGAATGGGCTACTGAGTGTCTTGAGGGTGGGAATGGGAGATCCCCAGGCCCCAGTGGTAACTGTCAGTGGCTGGCCTAACACAGGATGATGTCCAAGGTCCTCTCCAGCCGTCCTCAGGAGCGGCTTTGACCCATGCTGAAGGGTATAACCTGGGGCTGGGGATATAGCTCAGTTGGTAGAGTGCTGGCCTTGCATGCACAAGGCCCTAGGTTCGATCCCCAACACCAAAAATAAATTTAAAAAGAGTGTAACCCAGCTTTGCCACCTAGTATATATTCATTGCCATGTCACTTATCTTTTGAAGGCCTCAGTTTACTCATCTGTGATCTGGGAAAACAGTCACATGTATCTCAGAGGAGGGTTACGAGGATTATACTAAGTAGTGTACTTAAAGACCCTATCGTATAATCTGGATCAATAAATATTATTATGATATTATTCCCTGATCTCATATAGTCCTTTTTTTTTTTAAGAGAGAGTGAGAGAGGAGAGAGAGAATTCTTAATATTTATTTTTTTTAGTTCTCGGCGGACACAACATCTTTGTTGGTATGTGGTGCTGAGGATTGAACCCAGGCCGCACGCATGCCAGGCGAGCGCACTACCACTTGAACCACATCCCCAGCCCCATCATACAGTCCTTTTGGAGAGTCTGAAATGGTTAATCTGGTGTGGGAAGATGTATCAGGATGGGTTCTGGCAAAACCGCTTTAACAAAAAGGTCCCCAAACACAGTAGCGTATAGAAACCAGTTTATTCTCACATCCACCACATCACAGTCGGAGGGCGCAGCCTGGTGCAGTCAGTCTGCTCTACCTGCTCAGTGGAGGACTGTTTCCTTTCATGCCATTGCCTTTCCCTCTCTTAGGGGTTTCTTCTCAATGGCCTCGTCAAACCTCAGGCGCAGGCCCTTCTGTCCAGCTCATGAAAAAGAGATCCCAAAGAACTCACCAGGGTCCTCAGGCTCTGATGACACCACTTGTATCTCAGTCTCAGCTGGCCACACCTGGCAACAGTGTTGGCTGGGAAGCAGAAGGTCCTTGCCAACCAGGAGAGAGGGACTTTCGTGGACCCCTGGCGGCCTTACTCAAGGGCTCACCTGTGCCTGCACCATCTTCTTCCTCTTCTCTGCTCAAAGGAAGGAAAATAAAGTTCAGGGCCCAGAAAATAATGTGACCCCAATCAGGTCCCTGCCATCCATCCCAGGAAAGTGACTTGGAGGCCTCCCTCTAGAGAGAATTCCTTCCTGTCTTTCCTTTTGTGGATGTGAGAAGAGCGTGCCCAGGTCCCACTGCCTCACTCTCCTAAACCCTCTGTTCCCAGTCATTGGGTATGTCTACAAATGTGGGCCTATAAGATGACCTGAACCAGGAATGGAAAGAGAGATGGGGACACAGAGGCCACCATGCTCAGCAGACAGCCCAGGCATGGGTTCTGGTGCCAGGAAAACCCAGTTACCAACCATGAAACCCAAAGTGAGGATTAAATTCTCTGAACATCTACTGAGTCTTTGGAAATAGATCTAAGAAACTCACTTGACCAGGTTGTTATGGGATTAAATGAGATATCACATATACCTGACACACAGTACACCCTCAATAAAGGCACCTAATTTTAGTTGGTGCCAGCATGGCAGATCCAAGGCAAATCAGATTTATCCCTTGTTCTCACTCGGCCTTTATGTGGGTACTTTCTTCCTCTCCTTCCTTGCCAATACATGACTACTTCCTTTGCCTCTTCTTTACTTCCTACCCTCATTCCCTTTCCATCTGAACCCTAACCTATAATCTCCTCCTCCAGGAAGTCTTTCCTGACTGAAAAACCCCCAGTTCCTTCTCCACCTCCCCCTCTTCCCGCTGCCCCATGGTCCTGGCCCTATCCTTGCCCCAAGTTTGCATGTATCCCGCCCCTCCCTTCAGAAAGTCTTACCTTCCCATTCAGAAAGTGTGCAGCATGGAAGTGCATTGTGAGTATAATACTCCCATACCTTAAGCAGGTAATAAATTCTGTGTTCTTTTTCCTATTTAAAAAAAAAAAAAGACCAGAGCTCAGATTCCAACTCTGCCACCTTCTAGCTTTTGACTTCTCGGGTCATTCCTCCTTAGATCTGTTTCTCCCATCCTCTTGAGTCAGGTCAGGCGTGTGGCAGCTGCAAATGAGTATTTAGTAAACGTCAGTCTCCTCTGCTCTACCCAGCCTCCCGCAGCCCACACCGGGATTCCCTGTTGACCAAGATGTTAAGTCCTCCATCACAGCCCTTCCCAAGGAAAAGAGACTTTTCCCTTGAAGTCTGTGGGCACTGGGATGGTATCACTGACCCAAGAGCTGGAGCAGAAGTCAGGAAAGAACTGGCCTCCTGGCTTTGAGGGGTCCAGGCTCTCCCCATCCCCTCCCTGTGTGCAGCCTGACTGGTAGATCTAGATCCAGGGAGGGCTGAATGGGCTGATCTGATCAGTCTTAGAGACCCTAGGGAGCTTTCAACCTGTAGAAGCAGCTCTGACTCCAACCTTCCTCCACCAGAAGGGCCACAACATCCATAACTGATGCTGTCTAAGCATCGCCACATAACACTCTGTAGGTGTTTCCATGGGACTGTCATTGTTCTGGGCCCTTGGCACAGTTCACTCATTCCTTCCTCAGAACAGCCTTGAGCTAGATGCCATGAACTCCATTTCACAGACACGGCCTGGAGAGGTTAGGTAGCTTGCCCAGGTCATATGACTCCTAAATGGTAGGACAAAGATTCAAGACTAGGCCGTCTGGCCCCAGAATCCACACTCTTAACTACTGGGCCATAAAAAGAGCCAATGCTTACTGTGCAGCAAAGCACTCTCCATGTGTTTCACCTAATCCTGAGCAATCCCCCAGCAGATTCTGTCATTATCATTCCTGTTTTACAGGCCAAGAAACTAAGGCAGACAGAAAAGTTAAGCAATCTGTCTTCCCTCTCAGGCTAGGTTGCTTCAGAACTCCTAGCTGTTTCTCCCCAAGCCCCCCACCCACCCCTCTCCTCCATGGGGTTCTGCGCTACCAGCACCTTTTATCACAATTCTGCTTTACCCCAAGGCCCACAGCCCTCATTCCCCCAGACTCCTGCTCACCTCTTCTCTCTCCCTTCCCATATCTTCCCAGTGCCTTCTCTCTCCCTCAAGATCCTCCCAACCTTTTCTGTCTCTCCCTCCCTCCTCCCTTACAGCTCCTGCTTAATCAGATAAATTTCACTGGAAAAAGACCCTCAGACTTTCCGAACAGACCCCCACTGTGCTGATCGCACACCCCCAGGGGAGGCCCTGCAGTGTTGAAGCTGAAGAGCCAGAAATAAAATCCTCATCTGCTCCCCCACCCCCTCTTCCCATCACTCATCTGGGAATCCAGGGTGAAGAAGGAAGCTAAAGTGCAGAGCATTCATTTAATATTAACAAATTGAAATGAATTCTTTTAATGCCAATTAACTTGGAGCAGCCCCTTATTAATAGTAATTTAGATTCATACTTAGGAGAAGCAGGATCGAGGGCTGGGCCAAATGTGCCCAGAATGTCAATGTGACAATAGGGCTGGAGAACCAACAAGAAAGGGGCGGCAGTTTTACTTCTGCCCAGTTGGGTTCTGTTTCCCTGAGAACAGACAGTCAGCAGAAGCAGATTTTCTTCCAGGAAATACAAATTACTCTTATAATTTTATTTTTGTAGTTGAGATGAATCTGAAGGTTGAAACAGTGTCACATCATTTTTTTAGTGTGCTTTTACAGTAATGCTAAAAAAAAAAAAAAAATTTCTCTCAGAGCAGGGATTTACCCCAAACTCTCCTAAGTCAACCTTCACTGACCAGAAGAGAGCATCCCCAGACAGCTCTGCACCCTTCTTTGTTCAAAGCCAGAGCCAGAGATCAACCTTAACCAAAATGAAAAAGGGGAATGAACATTGTCTCTTCTGGGAAACCTCCCCAGGGATGTAAGAGACCCAAAAGTCTAAAGTTACCCTCAGCTAACATCTTACACTTCAGGGACAAGGAAAATTTGCTTCCAGCTTTCTTAGAATAAGGCAACGATAGAATTAAAAATTCAACTCTGTGTACCAGAGTAGAGACAAGTGAAAAGAACTTGTCCCAAACTAAAAGTTGAAAGAAATTCTGCTCTTGCTTCATTTGTTGCCTGGAAAGGTGGGACTGGAGGGGTCCAGAACTAAAACTGAGCCTGGGTTCTGCCCAGGGCAGGACAGCAGGCATCCCTCCATTCTTGGAGGGAGAAGGGAAGGTGAGTTACATTTCAAGTTGATAATTATGGAAGTTGGGAGTGAAGGTTCTGAGATGGGGGAGGCAGGAGTGTTAAAGGGGCTGAGAGAAAGTAAGGAAATGTACAAAGTGGTGAAGTTTGTAAAAATAAAACTTTAAAAAGTTTAAACATATAACATATTAAATATAAAAAAGAGGTTAGGTTTTATAAAGAGAGAAAATACATCAAAATTGAGACAATAATAATAATAATAGTAATGAAGAAAATGTATAAAATATTTCAAGTAAATTGTTCTGCAAAAGGGGGGACCTAATCAAATGAGACCTTATTCAAATCCTCAGGATTTCTTAAACAATAAATTTATTTATTAACCAAAAAGAGGAACAAACACAAAACTAAACCACAGTCCACAGAGGCGGGGGGAAAAAAACTGTGGAGATTCTGTAACAGCTGAAAAACCAACAGAGGAGGGAAAAAATGTACAAACTTAAAACCCACAAAATGATTATTTGTAAATACTGACACTGGAGGATGGGATGGAAAAAGGAGGTGAACTTGACATCATTAAACAATTAAAACTTGTAAAACCTAAGGTGAATTCATCCCCAAAGTAAACTCTCCATAAACAGAATGCCCTTCCTCAAGAGAAGGAAGTATAAAATTTATGAAAGAAGAGGAAAGTACCACTTTTCTCCCCAAGAAAAGTATATTAATCTGAACTCGATTTCCCTCCAATTCCAAATGGATTATGCAAAAGAAGACAAAGGGATTCGTTTTCTTTCAGCTAAGAGGGGGAAAAATCCAATCTCAATTGTCTAATGGGCAAGAAGGGAGGCATCCTTTGCAGGTGCCAGAGAGTGGGGCTGGAGGGGTGAGCAGCAGGGACCAGCTTACCTTGCTCTGGTGTGACAGCGGCTAGATAGGAGTAGATGAAGGTCCCTGCTAGTGCCTGCACGTTAGGGGAAAGAAGGACCAGGGGACCAGAGTGCCCCTAGACAAATAAGGACCGTAGAAGTACTGGGGGTACCCAGATCCCCACTCCGCCCGCCTCCCTCCCACTGGTACCCAGGCCTAGAGAGCTACTGAAAGTTACAAATTGCTTCCATTATTAGCTCATCCTGGGCAGCCTGGTCATTGGCCAGACCCTGAGCACGTGGTCCCTCGTACCAATCGATCGAATTTCTAGTTGCAATTCTCTGTCTGTCCCTTGGCTCTGGGGAGGGAAGGGGGGAGCGGTGGCGCGGGGGGTTGGGGAGGGGCTCCGAGGGGACCCTCGCCCTCCCTTTCCGCCAAGTGGGGGTCCTTTGCGCCGCCCCAGAAGGGGTCGAAGGAATGTTGTGGGCTGGGGCACAACCGGGAGGGCAGAAACTGGAATAAGCAAGAGACATCGCCAAGGACCAACGGCCCCTCTCCAGTTCTCCCGCCTGCCGGATAGTGCTCGCCACTCCCTCTTTAGAGCCCTCTCCATCCCAGACAGTCCTGGAACTAGTAGCCTGGGCCACCCCAGGGGCTCCGATGCTTTCTCCGAATCATTGCTTCTCCCGCTACTTGGGGGACTGTACGCCCACGTCCTGCCTCCCTCGGGCCGCTCTAGATCAGGCGCCTGCGCCCTCAAAATCACCCTCTCCATCCTCCTCCCCAAGGGCTGAGTTTGTACCCCTCTTGGAAATCGTTTGCGAGAAGGACAAACTTTTGAGTGGATGAAAATCAAAGGAGACGGTCCCGAGCAGGTGAGCTGGGCCCGGGAAGGGTGCGCTGTAGTCTAAAAACAATGTCTCTCCCGTCTCTGTCTCTTGCTCTCTTTCTGGCTCCATCCTGTCTGCCCGGCGAGCAGGCACCTATCTGCAGGGTTGGGGTTGGACCTCTGTCAGGTGCTTGGGTGTTAGTTTGGGCACTAAAGGGGCCGCTGGCAGGGGAGAGGGAGGGTTGCTTCTGAAACTGGGGAAGAAAGGAGAAATTGGGGATTGATAGGCCCAAAGGGTCTGCTGAAGATTCTTTCCCCAAATGCAACTTGTGTGAACTTCAGAAAAGTTTTTAAAACAGAAACGGAGAAGGAAGCAGAGTTGGGGTGTTGAGGTTTTAAGTGGGAGGGTGCTCTGCTTCTTATATTGATGGGAGGATATGTTTGTTTGTTTGTTTCCTTGGTCGGGACTAATTATCGACGAATTACCAAGCGGGTTCCTAATTCAGTTCACCCCAGAAAGTCCTTTAGAGACGCTTGGAGATCCACACAGGGGCTACTCCAAGGGAAACAAGTACTAGTGGAAAGTAGCAGTTTTCTACTCTGCCATGATCAGAGTGGGGTGTGGACCCAGGATTCCTGCCACCCTGATTTTAATTTAGTAGTGAAGCAAGGGGGAACAACTCCCAAATATCTCCCCCCCCCCCATCCAGTTTGACTCAAAAGACTCATTTCCCTAAAATGGAGTCAAGGAGTAGCCATCCCTCCTGCCCCAGCACACCCTTCCTACTTTTTCCAGTGGTCGGAGGAACCCACGACTTCTCTCCAAGGGCTGAGAGAAACCCTAGAGGAAGAGCTGGGGGTGGGGGGCGGGGGACTCTTCCAAAGGGTGTCAAGAGCAGAGGGTGGGTTCAAAAACCTGAGGCCCGGGACAAGGGGGTGTGGGCCTTCGGGGTGGCCTGGCGAGGGTGGAGAGCGCTGCAGGTGCACTGGCTGGCTGAGCCGGGAGGACCTGGAGCCCGCTGCGCAGCTGCTCGGGGCTGTAGGGTAGCAGGGAGGGACTCTGCCCCTGAGTTTCCAGGTCAGGCCCCCTCTCTGGAAACCGTGGGCTGGAAGAGCCAGGCGGGCGGCAGACGGCGCGTTTGGATCGCTTTTTGGAGAGGGTCAGGAGGGCTGAGGATCCCGGGAGAGGAGAACTCTCACGTGGAGCCCGTGAGGTCTCTGGCCGCCCACGCCTGCAGGGGCAGCTTGGCCCTCCTAGGTCCGGAGCCACGAATCCGCCTGGGCCTTTGTTTTCGCTGCTTGGCAGGATTTTCTGCGGTGCTCCCGCCGCCAAACCCAGAACTG